CATGCCAGGCAGGCGCTTTGCCGCTGAGCTAAATCCCCAGCCCCCGATACTTACATATTTTAATGGACAAACATATATTATTATTTTAAATTATAGTAAAAGAATGCTATATGTTGGCATTTGTATGTTGTATGTTTCTGTCAATAATAAGATACAGTTTGTTCAGTTATCACACCCTAAGGAATACGGATTCACTCCTTTATTGTATAAATATTTATTGAGTACCCACAAAGTGCCAGGCACTTTTTTATATGAGATTGGACAACAGACCAAAATCTCTGCCTTTGTGAAGCTCCTATCCTGTTGTGTTGGACTATTAAAAACATAGCTTCTGTCGTGAGTAAATGACCTCCTGTGTTCTGCTTCATTCAAGGAATGGAAAATGGCACAAACATTGTAGACAATGAAAAGATAAACCATTCTGTGAGTCAGGTGCACACTTGATTTCAGAGGTCCTCTGACGCTTGATAATTCACACCGGGTCTAGTTTCCAGTTTGAAGCAAGTCTCTCAGTTATGATTTATTCCATTGCTTTGCCCATGCCCTTACAGGATGTTCAGGATTCATCACAGCTGCTGCAACTCCTACCCTCAAAGGAATTTAAAACTCAGCATTGTAGGGGCTGTTCTTGTTGAAAGTGCTGTCAGAAAATTTATTGTCTTTATTTTCCTTTAATCCCTAACCTCTCAGGCCACAAATTTGATAGTGTCATAGAAAAATTTTCAAATCTTTTGATAGGAGTAGGAAAAATAGGCCTTACTTATTTGGAATTGCTCTAGTCCAGTATAATCAGTAGCAGTACACTCAACCTTTTGGCCAAAAGTAATAAAATTATAAGGCTAAAGCATGTACCAATGCCATGCAGCCTTCCTGCCAGTGAGAAGAGGCCCCACTGTAGGTGTGGCTACTTGGGCCCAGACTTGGGCTCCTCACTTGTTCTTGAGAGTCCGGAGCCCCACTCTCCCAGCCACCTGCAGGCGGGCACACCCAGGAGTCTGAGAGTCGCAGAGGCTGTGTCCAGCGTTACTCTGCAAGATCCGGAGCTGTATTTACATCAGTGCCAAGGTGACTCACAGCCTGAGCGAAGACCCAGTCTGAAGCAGCATCTGGAGCTGTGGCAGATCCAGCTAGGGAGATTATGGCTTTACGTTCCTAAATGGTTGGAAAAACAAGAGTATTTTTCCACACAGTAAAGTTGAATGAAATTTTTATTTCAGTGTCTATGAGTAAAGTTTTATTGGAATACATAATGTCTGTGGCTGCTCTGGCTCAATGTGAACACTTGAGTAGTCGTGACAGAAAGCACTTGGCTCAACAAGCCTGAAATATTTTCTGTCTGCCCTTTCACAGAAAACATTCCTGGCCTCTGATCTAAAGTGTACAAGAAGTACATTCTTCAGGAGTTTCAGAATACCTTGCAAATCAACACCAGCTGATTATAATAATGTCAAATGATTCTTCATTGCCTTCAAGTTACCTTAATAAATAAAATCAGTATTTAAACATTTCAGACTTTAATCTTGTTTTACAAATGAAGCACTGATGAACTAAAGAATTTTTCATCAGGGATAAAAGTATTATTTTCCCCATTTCTACTTTTTAGGAAAAAAAATATACAATCATTACTACTCAATGTATTTTCTCTTACAGTTGTGTTGTTAAGTAGGTTGAATTAAGCTTTTTTGATTCTGCACATGATTATTTTAAGTTTGATCCAGAAGTTGATACCTCAGTAACTCTTGATCATCTTGTAGGTGGAAACTTGTTAATCTTGGTGGATCAACATGCTGCCCATGAGCGCATTCGTTTAGAGCAGTTGATTACTGGTAAGGACCTATCTGAGAGGAAAAGATTGGAGACTCCAGCAGAAGTAGATTCCTCACTGTAACTATTATGAGAAAAGATGTATTATACATTTAAAAATTTAAGCTAAAGTCCTCCTGTTTGGCTTGTATTATAACTGAATGAGTGTGGTAGCTCATTTACTAATTTAAACAAGTTTTATATACATGGTCAAAGGCATCTTTGCTGCATATTTATTAAATTGGGCTAACAGTGACGCTCTGCACAAAGGTGCCTCTGCATATGCCCACATGATCTTGGTGTGCCTTCTCCACCGTTTGTCAGCTCAGAAAGCCAGTTGGATTGTTTTTATGTCAAAATCTAGTTTACCTTTGCAGACGTAGTATGATCAGATAGATCCAATTCTAGAAAGTGCAAAAGGAAATGCAATAAATCCTCCTTTATACCCTTGTCCAAAGTCCCATGTAGTTTCTCTTCCCACAGGCAGCCCATACTAGTACTGTTTTGTATATATTCCCAAAGTCAGGGTGTGCTTTTTAGCTTTTGCTAAGCATCTGTGTCATCATGAGGCAGTGTGTTCACCAAGAGGTAAAATGCCAGGAAAATCTTTACTTCCATGGTCAAGTAATGAAAAACCTTAGTGTCAAAGAGTTAGGTGAGGACCTAGGAAGATATTTCATGGGCTAGAAGGACAATGATATTGCTACTATTTTCATTCCTCCTTATAAAATGAAAGCCTAAGGGTTGGGAAAGATAACAAAAACAGTGTGAGAAAAGCTTACTTACTATGGGCCCTGCACCACTTGGGAATAGCACAGAGAATTGTGTTCAGGGTTGGGAGAGCCTTCTGCAGGAAGAGTTCCTGAGCCATAGGGTCATGTGGTAAACCTACACATTTCCCCAGGGATCCAGGTTGTGCGCCTCTGGTGTTAACCACAGGCATTACCTGTAGGGACATTGTCCTGTTCATTTGAATATGAGATTTAAGCCTGGCTTGGTGTTTCCTAGATTCATTTTAATAATGGAAATCCAAAGTCTAGAACTGAACACTGAACACATTACTAAGCACTAGGACACTTGGATCATGGCTGTGCTTTACAATGCGTCATTGTTGTTTGAATATAAAAGACTTTTCTTCTACCCTTAACCTATTCATCTTTCTTCTAATAGACTCATATGAGAAGCAACAACCCCAAGGCGGTGGTCGGAAAAAATTACTGTCCTCCACTGTAATCCCTCCACTAGAGATAACAGTGACAGAGGAACAGAGGAGACTCCTAAGGTCGGTGCATGGTGGGGAGGGGACGTTGACAGTGTAAGTTCTCACAGTGGTTCCGGGAGGCCTGAGCATAACCATTGTTCCATTCAGAGGAGGAGGAAGCTGAGACAAGGAGAGGTTACCAGCTTGTTCTCGGTCAGAGCAGATTTTCAGGGTGGAGCAGGCGGTCAGAGGCGGTCTTCGACTTCAAATGCCATTCTTCCCACTGTATCACAGCTGTTGAGTGTAGGATAGGGTTTCCCTGATAATTTTTTCCAGCAGTTGGCTTAGAACACTCTTCCCATTTCTTGGAACAGTCAAGTGTTTATGCTGTGCTGTTTCTGAAGGCAAAGTCAGTGCAGTAATTGCTTCCATTCTGCTTTGCCCTGGTTCATTCTAGTCTTCATTACCATAATCTTACTAGGAAGAAAGTAAAACACTGGAATATAAAGCAGGGGCAAATCATATAGTGAATCACAAGATAGGACATTTTCCCACTTCTGGACAGTACAAATCATGAAAATAAAAAAGGATATATTGTGTATCAGTTTATTTCAGGTTTGGGAATATACTACTACCAATGTATCTTTTTCTCGAGGGCATAATTTATATGAAAGGCAGATTCATTTATTTACATCCCTGTTAATCAGGACTTCTCAGTTCTTGGGCTGTTAATTAGCTCCCTGCTTGAATGCTGATTCAAAACATTTCTCAGAACTTTTCTTTGTGCCAAACTCCTTCAAGTTCCAGCGGCGAGAAGTTAACAATTCCTCAGTGAAAAATAAAATTTAGGCACAAGATGTAGAAAGAAATTGATTCTCTTACAGGGAAATTGAAGAAGAAAGAAAAGAGGCTTGGTGTAGAGTAGTGTGCCCTTCTCTCCCTCCCCACAGAGACTGTCCTGGGACGTCCAGTGGTTTCTGAGAACTGAGACGCTCTGGCCTTAGCTTGCTGTGTTTTCTCTGCATGCTGTCAGCATTGCCACGTAGTGTCAGTCGGTCCTTTCATGCTTCACGCGCTCAGGCCTCTTTTGCATCACTACTTTTGTGCTCTGGGACCATTATTAGGGAAAGTAAGGGTTGTATGAACACTGACACTACTATACTGAGACGTGTGATCCGGTATCTGAGTGACCAGCAGGTATGTAGTGAGGTCAGCTGGAGAGACTGCACAAAGGGATGATTCAGCAGGGCGGTGTGAGATTTGATCGTGTTCCTGAGAATGATGTGCAGCTTAAAGTTTGTGGCTGGGGTGTTACCTGTATGGCAGAGTGAGTGCATAGCATGCACAGCCCCCTGGGTTCAGTCCCCAGTACCTAAAAACTTTTGTTAATGAATTATTTACATTTGGAATGTATTATCTTTGGATCATGGTTGACTACAGGTAACTAAATCTTGGATAGTGAAGCCGCATATAGGGGCAACTACTGGAATCAAAAAAATTTGATAATAAAATCTTAAACACATAAATGTGAGAAAAACAATACAACTTGTATACAAGATTTTGAGAGTCTATCAAGCCTTTGGAACTAGTCGTGAAATGTGGGTGAAGTAACAGATTTACATTTACCTGTCTCCTCAGGTGTTACCACAAAAATCTGGAAGACTTGGGTCTTGAATTTACCTTTCCAGACACTAGCGATTGTCTGGTCCTTGTGGGAAAAGTACCACTCTGTTTTGTAGAAAGAGAAGCCAATGAACTTCGAAGAGGAAGGTCTACTGTGACCAGGAGTATTGTGGAGGTAAGACATAGCTTCCTGTGTGCAGGAGACTGCTAGGTGGTAATCCCCTCACATTTGTCCAGAGTCTCTTCGTTGGCCTCTGTTTAGCATGCATTTATGTTACCTTCCTCCAGTGTGTGCGCTTCGAGAGATTTGAAGATGAATTAGCTCTCGGGGAGAAGGAAGGACATTTAGGTATTTATAGTGCAGTGCAATATAGCTAGGCATATTCAAAAAGTGTTTTGGAAACAGAATGATTACTGTACCCAGGAAGAGGTGAAGGAAGCTGCTACAGAAAGGCTGTTTTCTTACAAAAAGTCATAGGAAGTTACTTTTCTCATCACTGATACAGTACCCAACACCCACAAGTTAAAGGAGGAAAGGGTTGTTTTAGCTCAGTTTGTAGAGATTTGAGTCCATGGTCAGCTGGCTCCCAGGCAGAGGGGCATTGCACAGGAGAGAAGGTTGGCATGGCAGGCAAAAGGCAGCGGGCATGAGCAGCCGCTTTCCATCTCTCCCTTTTACCTTATCCGGGCTGCAAGCTTTTTGGATGGTGTCACCTATATCCCTATGGGCCTTCCAATGATCTGTACTCAGAACCATGCTAACCAAATCAGTGGAGTAATTTAATGACACACGCCCTTAATCCCAGCCTCACACACCCTAGATCCAGCACCTCCCAAAAGCCCTACCTGTGAGTACACAGCCTTCGGGGGGACATCTAGATAGAAGCCATAGCTGGGCATGGTGGCGCACACCTGTAATCCCAGTACTCGGGAGGCTGAGGCAGAAGGATCATTTCGAGTTCAGGACCAGCCTGGGCTACAAAGTGAGTTCAAGGCCAGCCTGAACTGCATAGTGAGATCCTGTCTCAAAAGAAAAAAAAAAAAAAAAAAAAAAATAGATGGATAGAAGCCATAGCAGAAAGGTAGGAATCTGCCAAAATGTGGAAGAGTGGAGAGGGCATTCTAGACAGAGGAGCCCATACCAGAGACTTGAAGCAGGTCCTATATATGGGGAACTATCAAGATAGGGCTCCAACTAAGATACATACAACTAAGATACATACATACCTAAGAGCCAGGTGTGATGCCAGCACTTTTGGAAGGCTGAGGGAGGAGGATTGCAAGTGTGAGCCCAGCCTAGGCCACTAAACAGGTTAGCAAGATCCTGTCTCAAAAAATTTAAAAGGGCTCAGGATCTAGCCCTGCGTTCAATTCCCAGTACTACAAAAATAAGTAAAATAAAAATTTTGCTGGGCATGGTAGCATACACTTGGGAAGCTGAGACAGGAAGATCATCGAGAGTTCAAGGCCAGCCTGAGCTACATAAGACCCTGCTTCAAAAAAACAAAATAAATATTTAAAAATCTTTTCAAAAGAGGGTCACGGGTATAGCTTAGTAATGGACCATTTGCCTAGCATGCATGAAGGCCTGGGTTCAATCCCCAATACTGGAAGAAATGAAAAGAATTTTCAGTATGATTACTTACGTGCTTTGGCAGAGGTTTGGAAAGCTACTGCTGGGACGTGACATTGAAGGCATTAGGATTGTTATTAAATTTTTACTCTACGTTATTTTTCTTCCTTTTTTTTTGAGACAGGGTCTTGCTATGCAGTTCAGCCTGGCCTTGAACTCACTTTATAGACCAGGCTGGCCTCAAACTTGCAGCAAGCCTCCTGCCTGAGCCTCCATGCCCAGTTTAGCCTTGAATTTTAGCGTACATACTTAGCAAAGTTTGGAGGCAATTTGATTCTCTATTCTGTTTCTAAAATGTTCAAAAACCTTTGAACCTTTTATTTCCCATCATTCCCCACTGGTCTTCCATTTTCTTGTTTAGTATTTAATTCCACCTTGATTTTAGTCCTTCAGTTATCACTAATTTCAGTTATTTGTTTGATCAGAATACTTACAGAGTCTGTTCACTGTTGCCTGTTGTATCCTATTTATTCCTTCTGTTTTCTTTTTACTAAAGTAAATTTCTTAATGTTCTTTTACTAAGAGCCCATGAATGGTACACTGTGCCAAAACCTCATTTTGCCTTCACACTTCAATGACTGTCTAGTTAGAAGCAGAATTCTAGGCCAGGCATGGTGGCACACCTGTAATCCCAGCACTGGAGACTAGGCAAGCGGATTGCTGGAAGTTCGAGGCCAGCCAGGGGTACACATGAATTTAAGGCCAGGCCTGAACCACATAGTGAAATCCTGTGTCCAAAAAATTACCATTAGAAAGTAAACACTAAAGAAAATTTCCACATGCTAGTTATCCCCCAGCATTTCCAAAATATCCCATTACCTTTGACTTCCGTTTGTGCCACAGAAGCCCCCTGCCAGTCTGTCACACTGTAAGTATCTGAGTGTCTGTCTGTTTGCTTTGAAGACTATTCTTTGTCTCTGGCATGCTGGAGTTGCAGGGAGTTGCGTTCCCTCTCTTCAGGGGGTTCGTCGTGCTTCTTCAGTTTGGAAAGGGGGCAGCATCATCTCTTCAAACCTCCTTCTCCCCCATCCTCTTCTCCAGGAAGTACATCCCAGGAGACATCTGTAGTGCCTTGCTGTGCTACTCTGCACGCCACTTACCCTCTCTGGGACATTCTGGGAAATTTCCTTCGTGTCTGTTCCAGTGAACGAAAGTCTCTCCATCTGCTTTTCGTTTCTCTAATTTTTATGTGTACTGGTACAGGTCGGCAGTACACAGTGATCACACTCACGGGGGGTGCTGGGGCGCGTGCGCCTCACATCTCCGCCCTCCTTGTGTCCCTCCTCTCATCTGCTTGTAATGACATCTTTACTTACACACGGAGTTTTTACTTCGATGAGTAGACTTTTTATTTACAGGAGTTTTATTTGGTTCATTTGCAAATCTGCCAGTTCTTTTTTCTTACAGTTTGTACTCCTTCTTTCTCTCTAGCTCTCCCTATTCGGAGCACAAGCAAATGTGCATCAACTCAGTCTACCATTTGTCTAGAAATCGGAATTACTTGAGTAATATCCAAATAAAAAATGAAAAGGTAGACTTGTAGATAAGTCATGGGGTAGAATGATTTCAGGCAAGGTGAGCACTGCAAAGGCTTTAGCACTGGTTCAGCTATGAGCAGCGGAGGCTTTAACTGGGTCACTAGTGGTGGGAATGCAGAGGACAGTCATATGCAAGACCTAACTTGAGAGATAGAATCAAGAAGACCTGGTGAGCAACAGAATATAAAAGAAATAAAGGAGAAAAGGTTTATAACAGTGCTTCGAGGGTTCTTGCTAGATGAAAGAAGGGTGGTGCCATCTGCAGAGAGGGAAGTTGGAGGAGAAGCACTCCTAGCAAGGAGGTAGATGACAGGCTCATCGCAGGCACAGAGGGCTCCGCCGCAGACGGGATGTCCAGTGGGCAGACAGACCTTCAGATTCAGCACCCGGAAGAGACATCCGGACTGCATCTGTCTATCCGAGAGTTTATAGCACGCACATTTTTATAATAGCAGAAACTGGAGAAGGCTGGAGGAAGTAAGCTTGTCCTGGAAGAATATGGAGAGTGAAGGAGAGCACAGAAGACTCACTCTGCAGCACCCCGGCCTTCACCATGTGCGTTTGGCAGAGGGCTGGAAAGTGACTGCTGAAAGGACACTGTGAAGATGAGGGAACGTTGTGAGGAGGGAAGCAATCCAGGGAGAGGAAGTATTCCCAAGACCCAGGGCAGCTGTGAACAAGAAGAGCATGGCAGCGGTGGCCAGGAAGCAAAGCCTGAGAAGGTGGCTTTGGCTCCAGAGAGGACAAGGGAGTCTCGTGGGGTCACCTCCCAGCACGGGGTCGGCAGAAGTGGGCTGGGGTCAGCCGCGCGCAGGGAGGGCAGCGAGGCCACACCGGCGGACCTTCCAAGGGAGGGGCACGGCGTGGGCCCCAAGTGTGGGGCAGGAAGCGGAGGCTGAGGAGGGGTCTGTTCAAGCCGGAAGAGACCTGCGCACGTTTGTAGGCAGAGAAAGCGAGGCGACTCGAGGGTGAGAGGAAGCGAACAGTGCCCGCTTCTAGGCACCTTGGTGTTCCTCCCCAGGCTCGCCTTTTGATCGGACAGCTCTGCTTTGCTGCCAGCAGCGCTCTTCTTTCCGCAGAGCTCGTGGCTGCTAAGACTTGTGCTCCAGGTTGTCTCAACCTCAAAGATAGGATCTGTTCGAATCTTTTATTGTAATTTAATCCCTAAAAATTTCACCAGAAAGTTATAATAAAAACTTTCCCGAAGTTACTTCAAAGACTACCATTAAGGAGTTTACCTCAAATTGAAACAAAGCCTGCAGTTTCAGAAAATCTTGATCACATTAAGTCAGGCTGATCAGAAGAGATTTTGTTGATTCTGGAATAGCTTGGTATTTTGAAGAGGGGGCTACTTGAGTGCTAGCAGTGGAAAGATTAATACATACTTCTGTAATGTTCTGTACCACAGCCTGGTGAACTGGGCCCTTTTAACATTGTTTAAATTATGTAGTATTAATTGAACCCCTGAAGTAAAAAATGGCTGAGACTGAGTCCTTTCTTCCCCTCACCAGGCTTACAAATTGATGTTTTGCAGTTCCACAATAGCAAAGAAGTTAGGTTTGATTTCTGTCCACACTGTTTTATTAATGGGGTAGGTATTATGAGACATCTTTCTATTTAGGTTGGTTTTGAAAAATGTGTGGCTTTTGAAGTAGATACAAGATAGTATCTACCACCTAGTTCTTAATAACTGTGCTCATTTACAGGCATGTAGATTAGAGTATATAGAAAGAATTATCCAAGATTTAAAAAGAAAATCACCCTGGCTGGACATTAGGGTACCCCACCCCCCAAAAAATCCCAATACTCTGGGAGGCTGAGGCAGGAAGATTGCAAGTTCTAACCCAGCCTGGACAATTTAATGACTTAGCAAGACCCTGTCTCAAAATAAAAAAATATTTTGAGCAAAGGCTGTGGGTTTAGTCCCAAGTACTACAGCAGGAAAAATGAAGGGAGGATGGAAGGAAGGGAGGGATGGAGAAGGGAAGGGGAAAAGAGGGAGAGATGGAAAAGGAGGGTGGGAGGGAGTCCAGAAAGGGAAAAGGAAAAAAGGAAGACGGGGAGGAAGTCACCCCATTGGGATTTACGAAGAGTTAATGAAATGTGCTATATCTCAAAATATGCGTTGTACCTCCAAAGGCTAAATATTGGTGGAAGTAAACAGCATCGGCTTTAACTTTCTTTAATGTTCTTTTGTCAGTAATACCTACTAGGATGTAACTGTTGAAAAGGTCAACTCATGGACAGAGATATTCAAGGGAGAAGAAACTTCTCAACAAAATGCTTCATAAAATGAGCTTTTTGACCTAAAAGAAATTGTCCCAAAAAGCCTGTGGGAAACGACTATTTACTTAATGTTTTTAATATTTAAGTGACTACACAGTTGTACTGATGATTTTTGTATATTTATTCTCAGCTTGTCTGTAATATTACACTTGTTCTGGCAAGATTATAAATATAAACAAATAGGCTTAAACAAATAAGTTTGTATGTAAGTGTTGTACTGCTAGGACTCTCTTCTTCAGGAGGTATGTCTTAGAGAAGAAAATTAGGATATTTATAAACTATCAAAAGGCAATGAAACATAAAGTAGATTGATCTCTCCTCTTTTCCTTTTCACCTTGTAGGAGTTTATTCGGGAACAAGTCGAGGTAAGCTGTCCTTTCATCTCGGGGTTCACACAGAGGCACCATGCGCGGAAGGCTTCATTGTCCTGTCCCCTCCTCTTGTTAATGCAGCTGCTCCAGACCACCAGAGGCATCCAAGGGACACTGCCGCTGACGGTGCAGAAGGTGCTGGCCTCCCAAGCCTGCCATGGTAAGAGCCTCCGTGGCCAGCTGTGAGCCTCTGTGCTGTGTGCTGGCCGCCCTCCAGTGATTATGAAAGAGGCAGAAGGCTTATTTCTGCTCGCCCCTTGAAAAGTACAATGCAGACCAAGAAACTGAACACTCAAAACTAAAGCCTAAAAAATAACTTCCACAAAGCACAGCGCCTACACGCATGACGGTGCAGGCGGGTGTGCACGAGCAGAGGAAAGAGCTGCCCTTGTAGCCAAGTTCAGAGGGCCAAGGGCAAGGTGTTCAGACTGGAAAGAGGGAGTTCGCCACGGGGAGAGGAAGCAGCTTGTGCAGACGCGGGGGCAAAAATGAGTCCCCAGCGTGAGCAGCAGCAAAGAGCATTAGGAAATGAGGCTGGTGAGAGAGAAGGGCAGCCAGGGAAGTGGCACCGAAGCCTGGAGATCTGACACAGAGGGCATTACAGGTGATAAATTACAGAAAGGGGTGTTGGGGAGCTCACCCTGGAACCGTGGCGGTGGGCCTCCAGCCCACTAACAGCCCCCGCTTGCCCGTCTCCTCAGTCCCCTCTCTGCGCTTCCTGCCACCGTGTCACCATCCGTCTCCCGCAGGCGCCCGCAAGTCCTTTGCCCCTTTGTCCTGCCTTCACTGCTCATAACTACGGATTTCATCATGGCCATCTTCAAACTCACCCTGAATCCCGCCGTGCGTCCGCCTCCACGGCTGCTTCCTCCTCCTTGGGACGCTGAACTCTCTTGGCTCCTCGCACCCATTCTGGCTCCTGGTCAGAGCCATTGTCTTTCAGCACCTGGGGAATCTTCTCGAGGCATCCCTGTGAGCGGGCCATTCTTCTACCAAAATGCGTCAGGAGGAGTTGCTGCGCTTAGTACCAAAACGCCGCACTTTCCCGCGGCCCGAAGAGGCCGCCTGGCGCGGCCCTCGCCTGCCTCTTCAAGTTCACCTCCGCCACACCCCCTGGCGCTCTGTGCTCGGACCTGCTTCTTTGGTCCTGCCCTTCCTGGGGCCAAACTCCTGTCATCTCGGGCCCTGCACCATGCTGCCCTCACCTGAAACACCCTTCTGCTCGTTCCTTAGTCAGTCTTTTTTAACCCAAGGTTGGAGCCTAAAAATCAATTTGCCAAGAAAGCCTTTCCTGACCTCCTAAACTGGCTCTGATTTTCCAATTATATATTCACATTCTATGTTTTATAGTAACTGTGATTTAAATTATTATATAATTATTTGTTTAATGTCTGTCTCACCTGTTAGACCATAGGCTTTATGAGGGGAGAGCATTTGTCTCATTTACTGCTTGTCAAGCTCTTCATACAGAATTTATGCTTAAGAAATATTTTTTTAAAGCTTTTTGGTTTTTTTTAAGAGTTTAAGGAAAGAATTTTTTTTTTTTGGTACCAGGAATCAAACCCAGGACCTTGCACTTGCCAGGCAGGCACTTATGCCACTGAGATCTATCCCTGGCCCACAAGAAATATTTGTTGACTGAGTGAATTAATGTAGCAATAAAAGCAGATTTTAACAAAATGAGAGTTTAAATTAGGAAGGCTATTATGGAAATTAGAAAAAAAGAGCAAATAAAATGGGCATGTAAGGGGAAAATCGGAGGTTGCTGTGGGACAATCCGCAGACAGATGGTGACTTCAGCCTCACAGACCCTAAGTCAGTAAATACGCATGCTGCTCTTGCCTCTGACAAAAACCCTGAAAGCAAGATTGTAACCAGAGGAGGACCTTTCACAGGGACTAGAGGGACAGCCCGTGAGGAAAAGCTAAGAGACAGAAGGTCGGTTTTAAAGCCTGACTGTGACCCTTGGCCATAAGTGCCGGTCTGAAGCGGTGTTATAGCCATATTAAAGACTCTGAGGGCCGGGGACGCACCTCCGCGGCGCAGCACCTGCCTGGCAAGCACAAGGTCCTGGGTTCAATTCCCGGTACCAAAAAAAAGGAAGCTGAGAAATACGTTACTCTCCCCGATGCTTGGCTCCCGCCCAGGGTGGGTGTTGGTTTCTCGCCCTGCGCACTTTAACCTTCTGGTTTCTCTCTTGTGTTCAGGGGCCATTAAGTTTAACGACCGCCTGAGCCCTGAGGAGAGCTACCGCCTTATTGAAGCTCTGTCCTGGTGCCAGCTGCCTTTCCAGTGCGCTCATGGAAGGCCGTCCATGCTGCCATTGGCCGACCTGGGCCACTTGGGGCATGAGAAACAGGTACACGGTGACTCACGGGAGCACAGTTCATCTTCTGCCTCCTGATGTGATCTGCCTTAATGCTTCCCAGAGTATGAAAGTTTTGGGAAACATGCATTGGAAATTCATTTAGAGCCTACTGATTTTGTCTTCCAGTTCACATTCAAAATGGAGCTTAGACTAAACTGTCAGATTATCCCCATGATGGCTCTGTGTTTTTAACCTTAACACATGTACAGACTGGTGTATGCCTCACATCTGTTGCCTGCTGGGTCTAGGTTTGCTAAGATACAGAAATTCTTGCTGGAGGCAGGGAAAGCAGGTAGAAGTACAGCAAATTCAGTGTTGATGAAATGCAGCCTAGACATCCAGTTTCTTGATAGTATGTGCTAAAAACACTGACCTGTTAGGTGTATCTGGTCATCTCCAAGTCTGTCTTGAGTTGTGCTTTGAGGATCTTCAAGGAAACCAAGCCTAGGAAGAGAACTCCACATTCTGCTGTGGCCCCGATTCCTCAGCAGCCCACGAGCTGTGATGTGAGTAGTGGAATAAAGGCCCAGCATAGTTTAAGAACATTTTCTATCCTTGGTATGATCATAAATGAAACAGAACGTAAAAAAGAAAAAGGAAAACAAAAGAAACAGGGCCTGGGATATAGCTCAGTGGTACAAGCGCCTACCTGGCGGGCGCAAGGTTCTGAGTTCAGTTGCTGGATTCAAAATAAAAAAAAGAAAGAAAGAAAAAAAACTGACCATGAGCACATAGTAGTAGGATCCATATTGCTGACTTCCAGATCTTTTTTTTTTTCCCTCCTACTAAAGGCTATAACAGCTTTTCTTGCCCGGAGTTTGCAGGTACTAATATTTCCTGACTCATCTCATTGATTTTGTGCTATTAAAAACTCTGTTTCACATGACAATAAAATGAAATAAAAGTTCTGTCTCCATTGGTGAAGAGATGAGATTCTGGATTTAAAGTTTACAGTCTCACTACTCCTAAGGAACTCTGTAATCTTTTCTGAGTCCAGAAATTAGAAGTCTAAACAGATTTGAAGAGCCATGCATGAGATACTTCTGTGCTCCTGGCTTTTCATATTGCTAACTGGAGTTACTCTCTTTCTTCCTGCAGATTAAACCTAACCTTGCTAAACTTCGAAAAATGGCCCAGGCTTGGCATCTCTTTGGACAAGCAGAGGGCTGTGATCCGAAGCAGAGCCTGCAGCAGTCCCTGGCTCCTTGTGAGCCCCCGTGAGAACGGACTCAGTGGTCTGTGAGGAGCCAGAGGGGCTGGAGGAGGCTGCTGTGTACCCCTGAGCAGAGAGCATGAGCAGCAGCAGCACTTGTGCTTGGCCGAGTCAGCCCCCTGGAGCACGGTCCTTTACATCAGTCTTTCTGGAGCAGATGTTCCCTCTACCTGGGCAGCCACATGGAATTGAAGGCTGAGACCGTTCGCTCATTTGCAGCCATGGGTACAAGAGATTGCTGTAAAAGATCTGCCTTTTGTAACTTATTTAGTGATAACATTCAGTGATTAATTGTCAGAGTGGTGGGTGGCCTGTTTGAAGGTGGTGGTTTGGGGGCACTTTTTTCCAACTTCTGAGTTTGTGACTGTGTAATTGACCCGCTGCTGAAGCCCGGGGGCTCCTGTGCTTTCCTCGACCGCCCTTGGTGTTTCTCCCTCGGCGTCCTTTCCCCAGTCTTCCTCACGTCCCCTGCTGCCTCTTCACGTTCCTGAGGTCTTCCGTCAGGGCTGTAAGTAAATTATCTCAGGGATTAAAAACTTTTGATAAAGAGAAACACAGGCAAAGATAAAATAGAGAAAATGTCCAGTTCCTGGGTTTTTTTGTTGTTAGTTTATTTTACTGATTTTTAAAAACTTAAAGAGACTAATGTTCATATCCTGAATATCCCAAACCAGTAAACGTACAGTAAGCTTCTTTTTAAAAATATGATTTGCCTTGTACTTTCTGAAGTGTTTCTTTATGTGAAAGCATTTATCAGGTCAAAATGGCAGCATTTATTCTTTCAACCAAACCAAATACGATGTTCTACTGTTCTTTTCTCTTTTTGGAAACAAAGTTCTTCCAGCCCCTTTCAAATTGTGTCTTGAGTTTATTACAGTGTGCCTGTATAATAGCCTTATAATTTGACCTTGGCCCAAGACTGATGTTTCCACACCTGCTGGCAGTGCCGTCCTTAATCTGTGTCTTCCCTTTTCAGATGACTTAATTTGTGGTTAATAGGACCCAACTGACTAAGTGTGGAGGGGAAACAGCTGGTAGTGTTCATTACAACGACAGTGTGTACTGTATACCTAGTAAGATGCTGTACAATTAGATGTTGCAGTGGGAATCTCCACTTCAGTGTTTCTTGACCAGCCTGCTCAAATTGGCCTGCATATTAATGAAGTAATTCCCTTCACTTTTCAAAACAGGAAACAAAACTTTTCTTCCACTCCTGGAAGAAAGTCTGTTTGCCAGCAGCCCTGGACTGAGTCTTAGTAATCAAAGCAAGCGTTGCCTTCAGGAGCGTGGGCCTCAGGCAGCTGCAGGAAGCCTTCGCTCCCTTGCGGGGATCCTTGTAGTTAGAGGCACTGCTAGCATGGCTTCATCCTACTGAGTCCGTAGGAGTAGGGTTTTCATCCACTAGGAGCTGTGACCATGAAGAGGAGGGTGTTTTCAGGGGCTCTGCAAGGCTGTCAGAGGTCCCGCCGGCAGGCCCAGGGGAAGCCATGGCCTTGGGCCTTACTCCTACTCTCTGGAGCTGCATGGAAGAAACCTGTCCCAGGAATTTGAAAAATCTTGTAGACCACACCATTTTGCTGGGTTTTAAAAAGTGTTACCGTACCTCTTAGTGATGGGATGGGATTTCAGAAAGGTTCTGCTATTCATATCCCAAACTGCTGCGTTTCTCTGAGAGCAGGCGAGGGTTGGAAAAACTCTGTATGAGTTATGTGACCAGTGCCCCTGCCTAGCCAGACTGAGCAATGTAAGATACTTACTGCATTTTACTAATGTATAAAATTCAGTGGCATGCATCAGCATAAAGCAGCCTATTAGCCAAAAGTATCTGATAGGCTACTTTTATTGCTGGTTAGAGTGTTCTTTTTTTTTTTTTTTTTTTTTACAAGTGTAAGAACAAAGTATATTCAAAGTTACATTTACTGTTCTAATACATAATAGCAATTTTTTTCTTAGTAATTATTGACACCAATATGGTATATGATATTTTAAACTTTTCTTCTTTTTTCCCTTCAGTACTGGGGATTGAACCAGGGCCTTTACACTGAGCGACAGGAGACAGGCTTTTGATAAATTAGCCTGCCTGGGCTCAGACTTGCCATCCTCCTGCCTCTGCCTCCCACAGTGCTGGGATTACAGACATGTACCACCATGCCCAGCAACTGCAACGTTTATAAAATAAATTATCATATATGCCTTATCTTATTTGAAATTTTTTTCTTTTCAGTACTGCATGGAATCTAGGGTCTGACACCCGCTAGGTAGGCGGTCTAGCACTGACCTACATCCCCAGCACTTTATTTCAGTTTCCTGACAGCACATAAGAAAGGTATTATTATTATTCCCATTTTACAGAGGGAAAACAAAGGCAGAATACTGAGTGATTTAAGATCATACAGCAGGTAAGCAATAAAGCCAAGAGTGGCATTCAAGTTTTCTGACTTTAGTAACAAAAATAAATAAGTAAATAGCGTTTATGAGGAGTCGCTGTATATTTGTGGCTTTGTTTTTTCCTTTTCTTTCGTGCGTGCGGCAGGGCTGGCGGCAGAGCGCAGAACCCCGCTGCCCGGGGCTCGGGGCCTGCGGCGGGGCTGGCGCCCGGCGGCCGCGGTCAGCGCGTGTCCACTTCGTCAGGGACTCACTAGCGTGTAGCCTTGTGGTTCGACTGGAGTAGAGCTCGAGGGCGCGCGCCGGCGGGCAGAGCAGGGGCAGCAGACCGCGCGGCCGGTGCGGGCGGGTCTCCAGTGGGCCGGGCGAGGGGCAGCAGCGCGTCGGGGTGGAAGGGCAGCGCCTGCGAAGAAGCCCGCTGGAGCCCCCGCAAGTCCATAACAAAAGTCCGGCTCGATGTGGGCCGCAGTGCTCGCTACTGTGTTCCTTCCTTTTTTCTCTCCTCCCTCTTCCCGCACCTTCCCTTCTCTTGGAACCGGGGATTGAACCAGGCCTCCTTCACATTAAGCTTCATCCCCAGCCTTTTTTCTTCAAAAACTTTTTTGAGACAGGGTGTCACTAAATTGCCCAAGCTGGTCTTGAATTTGTGACCCTCCTGCCTCAGCTTCCCAGAGTGCCGGGACTATAGACGTGTGCCACGCACCTACCTGGCTTGTCCCCCTGTACCGCCTGCCCTTTCTCAGCTGCCGTGTTCACGATCAGCGAGGCAGTGAAAAGGTGGAGCCGGAGGAGCGGAAAAGGAGGTCTGAGAAACCAAGATTCTGAACAGCCTGTAGCAAAATGCCCTCCCTCCTCCACCGGTATTACTGTCTGCTCACCATTCAGTGACTGCAGCGAGGCCCTTCTAAAGCACGGCCTCCGTGGGGAGGTGAAAAAGGGCCGCCTAAGGCTCTCTGACTTTTCTGACCCTTGCTTCCTTTCCCCGTGCCCATTCCTTGCGAAGTACTCAATCTCAGAGACGCCCGGTGCAGTGCGGGCGGCCTGATCAAAGCCGGGGACGCAAGCGTCCGGCGGGCTGCAGTCAGGGAGCCCCTGAGCACGCGGCATCCGCAGCACGCTGGAGGAGTGAGGTGTGGCCGCCCTGCTGCCCGAGTCTTAGGACTTGTCCTCACTTCGGAAGCAAGGAACGTCCAGGGCCGGGTGTGGTCGAGCACCCTTAATCCCAGCACTCCGGAGACTGAGGCAAGATGACCGCTGTGAGTTCAAGGCCAGCCTGGGCTACATATCGAGACCCTGTCTCAACAGGAGGGGAAAAAAAAGGACTGTCCCGTGATGGTCTAAAACAAACAAAAACCCCACTGGTTTGAAGTCAGCTACTCCTCTTAATAGTTTATCGTTATTCAGCATTGTGTTACTTTCTTTAACTGAAGGATTTTATATATAAAGTGTGAATTTGAGGGATCTCGTCAAATGTGTTTCTTCACCACTAATTAGCTTTGTCCTCTCGGCTCATGTACCGCACCTGAGAAAAGCACTGAGGGGCCCCTTCTCCTGGGCACAGTATTTTACAGAGGCGCAGTATGGCTCAAAGACCGCCCTCTGCTGGGTGGGTGATGTGCTACAGCTCTTTGATAATGGCAGCGACTGCTTAGGCATCACACCCTACGCAGGACAGTTTGCTGAATGGAAGAATAACTTAAAGATGGGGACGTGACTCAGTGTAAGCACTTGCCCGAGGCTCAGCCCCCTAGCACTGCAAAATAAATACACAGATGATTTAAGGAAAAGTGGGCTTTTCTTTAGAAACATCTAAACCTCACTACAGAAAAGCTCACGTGTCAGCGAGGCGCACGTCTCGGAGTAGCTGCGCGGACAGGACTGCGTGGGCCTCCGCGAGCCTCTCCTGCCCCACTGCTGGTGAACACGACCACCGCGTGCTGCCCGCACCAGGCAGTCCTGCGGTGCCCAGCTCTACGTGTGCAGTGTTCAGAGCCGCACAGCTTAACAGTGGAGCTGTGTGGCGGGCAGCCTTAGTTACCCTTCGAGCTGACACAGAGGACTGCTTTGAGAAAGGGTTTTGAAGCACATCTGGGAAGCTTATAACCCTATGGGTACCGGCATTTCTTTCTCTGAGGTATCATTTTTCACTTGTTTTTCTTGGTAGAGTATTTTTCAAAAACTTCCCTTCTGAGGCTAAATTAGGAATTTCTGTTCCTTCTTTGAGTTCCAAGAACTGTGCCTTTCCTGCCCTCCGCCCAACTTGGAAGACAGAAACCGTGGGAAAAGCACCTTCAGAGGCTGCATTCAGTTATCTCTCTTGGTTCATTCAGCGCATTGAGCAGACGTTCGCATCCACGGCCGCCTGCTTCTGTTCCTTCTCCCCAAGCTCTAAGAGCGTTCCTGGGTCCCGCCGACAAGGCAAGGGCGGGAGCCGAGCGAGCTGACTCGGAGCTCCCGCCTCACCCTTAGTCACCTTTCCTCTTCCAACACTTGCCCCTCCTCGCATAGGAGAACGCAGTTTTTGGGCCTTACTGACTTGAGGTGAGGAAGAGCCTAGAGCGTGCATTCCTGCTGTTTGGTTCAAGGCAGCTGGAAGAGTTGACGGGAGAGCCGGCGGCTCCCCTCTAACCTTCTGTCTGGATCATGCCTGGGAAGGATGTTGGTGCTAATTTTAGGCACAGACACAAAGATGCACCCAGGACAGGACCATAAAGCATTTCTAGTGCCAGGAACAGATTTAAATTCCTTGACTCACTGCTGTTCTTCCTGCAAACCACACAACTGCACCCAAGTGAATTGCTGTCGGAATTGGTGCCTTTGGAGGACACAATTGCTCGTAATTGGTAGCCATAAGCCACTTCACTGAGAAGCGTGGGGTCTTAGAGGCTTTAAGATGTAATTGACAGACGGCAGCCCGAGTGAGTCAGCCTCGTCTGAGTCACACGGCTTCAGTCCTGTTTTTCCCGTCAGGAAGACATGAACCCAACATGAAGACCTGTCTCAGACAGGATCAGAGCGAGGCCTTTCCCTCATACCCCGTCTTCGACCAGCACTGAACCAGGCGTGCCTGTCAAGCACCTCTTCAAATGCCTGGGTTGTGTTTGTCAACCATGCGGGGTCTTCTACCCAGACACTGCCGTAAGAGGTAGCAGCGCGGCTTGTGATTAGGGCCTTGGGGGGCCCCTGCGTGGCCGCTAGTTCCTAGGAGGGCAGACCATGCAGATCTAAGTGACAGCAATATAAAAACATTGCACGGGACCTCCTGCTTGCCCGTCTGGAGTTTCTCTGCCACACTTCTGCCCATGCGTGAACATGTATACACGTTCCTTCTGCTTTAATGGACTGAGGGTCGTGATATGCATACTGCTCTGCAGCTTTATTCCCTTTTTTTTTTTTTTTTTTGGTCTTTTTGAGACAGGGTCTTGCTATGGCAGTTCAGGCTGGCCTCGAGCCCACTTTGTAGTTTGCAATGATCCTCCTGCCTCAGCCTCCCAAGTGCTGGGATTACAGGTGTGCGCCACCATGCCTGGCTTTCCCCAACTTCTTTTTAACTAAGAGAATATAAAATTACTTCCTTACAAATCTGTCCCCCACTTTTTCATTTTTTGGTACTAGGGACTGAACCCAGGGCCTCTGCACTGAGCTGCATCACCAGCCCTTACAAAAAATGTTTAGTTTGAGATCACTAAGTTGTAAATTGCCCCCGGACTGGACTCAAACATGCAATCCTACCTCAGTTTCCCAGCGTGCTGGGATTATAGGTGCAAGCCAGCCGCCACACCAAGCTTTATCCCACTCTTGAAAGAGTAACAGTGGAGCTGCCTACCAGGCTTAAGCGGATAGCGTTTACAGTCAGCTTTCTGGCGATTTTGCACCTAGTGAGTCCACTGCTCATCAACAGCTGCTATTTCCTGCCATGTGGAAAATGTGGAACAGGAACTGATAAATCTGCATTTTGAAGAAAACCCAAGAAATCTGAATTTTTAAAATATGCAATCTCCAGAATTAAAAATACCAGTAACTCACTTCAGCGAAATGTCGGCTCGGCCAGCCGGTGTTTTCAACCCGCCTCTGTGCACACCTTTCTTGTGATGCTTTGTTGCCCTGTACACCTGGTGTTCCGGAGCGCGGATGTCGTACCTCAAGCTCCCTTCGCTGCTGAACACTTAGACCGAGGCACTGTGACTGCGACACTGGACACCCCTGTACATTTGTGTGCTGGTACAGTCATTCTAGAAGGGTGGGCTCCAAACTGTCTTTCAGAACATTATTCCAGTGTACAGTCCCATTAACAGGAAACGAGAAGGTCCTTGTGGACACTCTGAGGACGCCCAGGGGACCCCAAATCAGAGGGCGTCATTCGAGGTGACTGATGATCAGGGGTCTCAGAAACTGCACCTTAAGTGACTCTAACAGGTTGTGAATAACTCCAGTGAATTATAAAAGGAAACTAAATACTTGCATTTCACCTCTGACTTAGACTTCTCCCTCAAGAAAGCACAGAAAGGGTTCTGCTGCTGCTGTACTTCAGTGCAGTGGGAGCTGAGGACAATAAATAAACTCAGGAACTTCGCAGAAGCTTTTATTGGCACAGCCTAGGAAAAGGTGTGGGAGCCACTTGTGAGTAAAACTCCATATCCCAGCAAGGTACTCAGTGTTATGTTTAACGCACCAGTGAACCAGAAAGTTGAAGTTCCTGAAACAGACGCAGCCAGGTCACCAAGAGGCTCCAAAGTCAATAGGTTCGGCCCTGCTGCTCTGTTAAACTCTTAAAGGCAAGGAGCAGTCCTGGGTGAGAGCCCTGTGTGGGACAACGGAGACGCCAGGACACGGTGTGCAGTCTGTCCAGCCTGACTCCGCCCGCTGCTGGGAGGACCCTGCAGCGGCAGCGCTGAGCATGCTCCGGCTCCCTCTGCCTGAGCACTCTCCGCTTAGCACAAGCGACGGTCACAGCACGTGATCGTCAGGGTGGTAGAGCTCACTCATCAGGCGGTAGACGTAGGACGGTGCATTCCCACCGATGTTGGAGATAAAGAGGGTAATGAGCTCTGGGGGGACGTAGTCGAACACCGGGCAGTGAACGCTGACCTTTTCCAGGATATCTCCTGAAAGGCAATCACACAGGCGCTAAAGACAAAGCGGAGGCTCTTCCTATGGTTACTCAGTAGCACATGGAGTAGGTTCAGTAATGCAGGCATACTCGCTACCCAGGAAGGAGGGCTATGGCAGAACACAAACTAGAAGAGGTCATGGTCCTGCAACGCCTCTGCGTGGAAATTCACACGTGAGACTGCAGCCGTCTGGCCCACCGCATCATCATCCTAATTGTAATTTGTGTGAGTCCCCTTCACCCGCTTTACTCTCCAGGCACGTGGCCGTCCTGTCCAACCGGCAGTGCACGTACCCATCCCGGGTGAGCCAGTGCCTGGCACGCACATTCCCAGCCGTCACATGGTGGGTTCTGTTCATTTAGGACTCAGCCGCAATGTCCTCTCGAAAGATCTGCCCCCACTCCTGGGTAGTAACTTAGCCGCTTTCTATCACATCACCCTTGTTTTCTTCCTAAAACCTCCCAGGACCTGACAGCTTGTCTGCCACCTGTAACAAAAGGTAAGCTCTGTGGGAACAGGGCCTCATCCACTCTTTTCACCCTACTATTGCCATGCCAGGACCTACTGGGCACTCACTGAGAGGCCAGCCAAACTGCTGAGGAGGCAGGAGCAGAGCTGCTGTCATCAGAGGCAGCCAGAGAAAAGGGCCTCACACACAGGGTGTCCAGGCTACAGCAAGTTTTACGAGTAGTGACATTTCACAGCCTGCTTCCTTTGGCAACTGATTCATCAACAGGACCTGAGAACAGGTCCTTTCTTTCCGACTTGGTTGTGTCCTATATTTTAAACAATGTACAAAGCCAAACCCAGTCAATAGTAGGTGGCCCAAGCCCCCAAAGGCCTCTAACGACTCAGTTAACACATACTAGTCCCAAAACAAATCAACACAGCCTAGCACAGCTCCCTAAGCACTACAGCACTAGAAGTTGCTAATACTAACTGTCCTCATGAGAAGTATGATTTTTAGAAAAACATAACCTGACCACATTCCATCCTACTGAAAACCAAAAGATACACATATACAACACACACATACACACACACACACACACATGCACACACACATACCTTCTGTAAAAGGGAGGACTTCTTCAGGAGCCACAAACTTGTGAAATGAATCTTCTTCATTGGGAAACTAGAAATAAAAAAAGAAAAAAAAGATGCCACAAAATTCCCCATCTAGATATGTACCCAAGAGAATTTAAAAAATCTACATCCAGCCGGGCGTGGTGGCACACACCTGTAATCCCAGCACTTGGGAGGCTGAGGCAGGAGGATCACTGCGAGTTCAAGGACAGCCTGGGCTACAAAATGAGCTCAAGGCCAGCCTGAACTGCACAGTGAGACCCTGTCTCAAAAAGACCAAAAAAAAAACTACACCCACACAAAATTTACACAGGAATGCTTGAAGCATTACTCACAAAAGCCAAAAGTTAAAACCAGCCCAAATGTCTATCAACAAATAAATGGATAAACTCTGCCATACTCATACACTGGAATATTATTCAACCTTAAAAAGAAAAGAATTCTGACCCATGTTAAAATATAGACGAATCCTGAAAACACTCTGCTAAATGGTAACAGTTAAACACAAAAGTCACATATTGCATGATTCCTTTATATTAAAATACTCCGAATTAGCCAACCCACAGAGATGGAAAGCAGCTTCACTGCGACGATGACACAGGAGACAGCAATGGGGAGGGATCACTTCGTGGGGATGGGGTGCTTTTCTGGGATGACAAAGTTTTGAAGCTAGAAAGTGGTGGTTACACATGCAGTGGACGTACGAAATGCCACTAAATTGTACATTTTAAAATGGCTAATTGTATGTTATATGAATTTCACCTTAATTAAAAAATACACAGACCTATAAATAGGTTGTTTTCCATGCAAATAGCCCTATCACCGATGAAACGGCTCTTCCTTTAGCAACTGCTTGTATTTAGGCTGCGGAGGACAGGCCCCAGGACAAGACACGTAAAACCGATTCTAAGATCCTAGTTTCAACCTGTTCAGCATCTTCAGAAATGGCGAGGGCAATGGGGGTGCTGGCAACCGCACGCCAGGGCCTCGCCCAGCCTGCACTGTCCCGACCTTTCTTCCTTCTCTGCTGCCTCCCAGGCAGAGACAGACCCACCTGTGGGGAAAGTTTGAACATGGGGGCGCAGACGATGAGTGGGGTGGAGTGGTGCTTCGCCGCCAGGGCCAGGGTGTGAGTTCCCGTCACGGCTCTCAGGGCGCCATTGGCCAAGATGGTCTTTGTGCCGATGATCACCTTTGGGACAGGAAGGAAGACGTGAGCCATCCGAGGGGTAAGGGCTGCTGACTGCAACCGGCTGAACGAATGCTCGGGCCTCCACCTGGGCGTCCTTCGGGGTCCCAGATTAGAGGTGGGATCCTAGACTCAGTACTACAAGCTCCTGCCTCCCCAAGGAAAGAATGACAGCAGCACGCGACCGCACTTCGCCCTGTCTGGAAAGCCTTACGCTGTCCCTCCGGGGCAGCCAAGAGCCTTTTCACTTACCACCCCATGGCCAAGCTCTCTGACTCACCCCCCGCGTGAAACTTAGCTGGGCCTCAATGCTGCGGCCAAACTTTGAGCCTGTTCCTCTGAACAGTGAAGCAGGGTGATCCGTGCAGGGGGGAAATTCAGGAAGATTTTAAAAGCGTTAAATATGTAGTTTCAAAAAAGCAGTTTTTCAGTGTAAGCTTCATGAATTCAACACATTAATTCCAAAAATACCTACTTTGTTGACTCTTGACATAACAGCAAAAATAGCAGCATCAGTCATGACAGTGGTTTCAATTCCGGCTTCGGACAGATTGACGGCCATTTCATGACCCTGCAGCAGGAGGGAAAGGCTGTTGCTGCAGAGAGCGACAGACAGGAGAAGAGCCCGCAGGAACAAGCGGACCTGGGGAGTGCTGGGGCACAGACACGTCTAGCACACAACTTCCGACACAGAACTCATTTTTCTGGCGAGGGTCAGTGTTTCCTGATGAGCTTCGGAGGAGCCCAAGGGAAGCTAATAAACATGCATTACTGCACAGCAGCACAGAGCGGCCTCAGAACTGGAAATACTACCTGCTTGCGTAATCGAGCACAGCCAACAAGATAGGCTCGGCTCATTATTTTACAACATCCTGCATCCTCACATACTTCTTCGTTGAGACTATTATTTAATTAAGGGCTGTGTGAGATCAGAACAAGCACTAGTCATCCTCAAGGTAATACATACTCTATTTTGATTCCTAAAAGAACCAATATTCCTCTCCTTAGGCCCAGCAGTTCACCCAGCTTTCTTAAACCAGCGAGCTTTCCGATGCTCCCTGGGTGAAGAACCTGACAATGTTCTTCATGGTGTATCTTTTCAATGTCTCAATGTCTTCCCTATCAACTCAAAATTGGCACAGACTCCAGCCATCCTCCTTACTCCCTCTTCACTTTTTCTTAACTCCAGCAGTCCCCGTACCTGGCAGAAAGGAGCACACTCTGCCACAATAACATGGAATTTCCTCTTTCGGGCGGCCTCTTTAAGGAAGGCCTCCACTGTTCTTGAAAACCCGATGGTCATGATCACCTCGTTGGAGTGAATGTGCTCCAGAGCCTGCGCTGCAATGTTCTCCGTTGTGCCTTCTGCAAGAACAGTTTTGCAAGGACAATATGAAGCTGCCATTCTACAGTGCAGAGACGTGACAACAGCATGGAAAGGGATGTCTGCCCTTCACACAGACCTACTGCCTCCCTGGGATAATAAGCATAAAGGGAAACATCACGGTTTCTTACCAGCCCCATTCCTCTGAGATCTTCTACTTCTCACCTTCTCAATCTACACCCCTTTTGCATCAGCAGTCCTGCTCACCAACTATCTCCCAGCTACTCCACCATAATGGCTCCTGAAGACAATGAATTCAGCAAAGAAACAGCAGTCTGGGGAATCCTAAGTGCTCACTGCGGCTAAACAAATTCCCCCCTAAAACAACTCTTCCTCCACATCGTCCGCAACACCTCAACCTGACAGAAGAGAACCTGAGGAGTTTGGAAGCTGCAGTTTGGGGCACAGATAGAACCCAGCTTCTTCATCCCGGGGAACCCTGACTGTAATGAGTATCTGCAGGTGTCTTGGGTCACAAAGATGAGGATGAAAGCAGCGTATATGTGTGTATAAAAATTAAACAAGGTGAGTGAAGGAGGCTCTGTCAATGTGTTTTTTTTGTTTTTTTGTCTTTTTGAGACAGGGTCTCGCTATGCAGTTCAAGCTGGCCTTGAGCTCACTTTGTAGCCCAGGTTGGTCTTGAACTCACATCGATCCTCCTGCCTCAGCCTCCCTAGTGCTGGGATTACAGGCGTGCGCCACCACGTCCAGCTCGATGTGGTTTTAGAGTTTGTTTTTTTTTACAGTGAAAGTGAGCCCCGTCAAGGGGGCTGCGGATATAGCTCAGCGGCTCAGCGCCTGCCTGGCAAGCGCAAGGTCCTGAGTTTGATTCCCGGTCAGTCCCTCCTCCACAAAATAATAGTCTGTGGAGGGCAGGGTCTGCAAGGATAGAGGTTACTTTAGTCCTGCTACCCGCTCCACCCATTCCTAACCAGGATGGAGGACAAACTGCCGGCGGGGGGCTCCCAACTCGCTGAAAACACCTTCGAGGGCTTCTGTGCCACCCGCCTGCAGCCGTCCAGCCCAGCGCTCAGACCTCTTACCCAGCTCCACCAGCAGCTCACTGATCGCCTCAACGATGTTGGCCTGCAGCTGGGCGTAATGTAAGCTGAAATCCTCGCTCAGGCCTCCGGAGGTCAGCAGCTTGTGCAGGGACTCCTGCTGATCGCTCTCGTCGCTGCGCCCGTGCAGTCTGGGGGGCGGAAGACCAGAGTGAGGCGGGCAGGGGCCGAGGCGCCAAGCACGGGCGGGAGCGCGCGGAAAGGGCCCCTCGGTCCACGCGGGGCGCAGGCCCGGAGCAGACCTGCCGTACTCCTCGCGCACGATCTTGAGCACTCTCCGCACCATGTTTCCCACGGTGGTCTCGGAGGGCTGCGCGGCCAGCATCCTCCTGCCCTCTCTGCGGATCAGCTCCATCAGCTCGCCTAAAGCGGCGGGGAGAGAGGTGAGCGGCCGCCGCGCGCCGGGCCCCGCGCGCGTCCAGCCGCGGTGGGGAAGGGACAGCGCGCGACGCGAGCGCGGCCGCCCTGCTCACCTGCGTTGCTCCAGCGCTGGCCCGTGATGATCCGGCGCAGCAGCCCCAGGGTCTCCCGAGCCATGTGCTCGGAGCTGCGCTGCCCGCCGCCCCGCTTCAGGGTCTCCACGAAGCTCTCGATCGTCTCGGACAACGCCGAGCCCTGCACCGACGCTCCCGGCATCTTGACAGCAGCCTCCAGCCCCGCGGAACGCGCACCGGGACGACCGCAGTGTTGTACTTCCGGGGCAGGAGAGGTTAACTTCCGCTGCGCGAAAAAAAGTCCAGTTCGAGCAGGAGCAGGTTCGGCCCCTCCATCTGCCTGGGCCAATCAGAGAGCTGGGGCTCGGGCCCTTCTGTTCCAGTCGAGCGTCCCCGCGCCTCCGGAGGAGGACCGGAAGTGACCTTTTCGGCCCCCTCCGACTCCTAACACCCGCGACTCCTCCGGCTGGAGCGGGTGGCCCGTCCCGTCGCCATGGAAACAGCAAGGCTCCAGGCCTCCTCTCCCCACCCAGGATACTCTGGAGAAGTCGCCGCCCTCCTCGCTGAGCAGGCGACGCCTGTCCTGCTGCCGTCCAGACGCAGAGCTCCGACGGCAGCGTCCGCGGCCCGCTGCGCCCCGGCGGACTCGACCTTAGTACCATTAGGGTGCCCGGCGCTGCTGGCGCTCGTCTTTGTAACGGCCCCGGCTCCCACGGCCTCGCACACGTGACGGAGGACAAAGGACCCGAGGAGGAGGAGACTGCAACCCACGAGGAGATTCAGAGCGGGAGCCGTCAGGGGCAGGGATGAAGGGATGGCCCTGGGCAGGCCCGGGGCTGGGGAGCCCTGACGTGTAACAAGACAGCGTTGCCTGTGAATTTCTTCATCTACTACAGCTAAGTGAGAGGCGCGCTTAGTCCCATTTTACAGATTGGGAAACGGATCTGCAGATTTTATGCAGTTAGGAAGAGTTCACACTTAACTCCGTGTCAGTCAGAACCCAAAGTGTGTGGAATAAAAAAATCTTTTCTCCTTAAGATAGATTCCTCAAAGTGGAATCTTTAAACACACGTTTTTAACCCTTTTGTGACAACCCTCCAAAAAGACTGTTTGTATTAAAAAATAAAAGAACAAGAAAACTACCAGCATGAACCAAAATTGGCAACAAATTGTTAAATCCAAATATACATGAAAAAAGAAAAATGCATAATAACAAGTGAAAGTTTAAACCTGGAATGCAAAGAGATTCAGTATTTGAAAATCAATCAACATAATACATCACACTGCCAGGGGTGGTGGCGAACGCCTGTAATCCTAACACTCGGGAGGCTGAGGCAGGAGGATTGTTGAGTGTTTGAGACCAGCCTGGGCTATACAAAGTGAGCTCAAGACCAGCCTGAACTGCACAGTGAGACCTTGTCTCAAAAAAGACAAAAAAAAAACCCAAAAACCAAAAAACACATCACATTAACAACCCAAGAGGTGAAAGATACGATCATATTAGTTGATGCAAATCAGTTGATCAAAGGAACATTTAAGATCCAAGGTTCATTTAAGATAAACTCATAAAACTGGGAATACAAAGGAACTTCATTTTGATACAGGGAAACTACAAAATTATACTTGTAAAATCATATTTCATGTGAAAGAAGGTCAGGAATAAGGCAAAAGTACCTTCTCTCACTACTGCTTTTTTAGATATGCGAAGTCCTAACCACTGCAATAAGGCAAGAAAAAGAAAAGCACACAGAATAGAAAGAAAGGTGCTCTTACAGAACCTTACTCTTACTCCTAGAACCAATAGACCTCTTAGAACTCAACTTTGTAGAACTAACAAGAGTGTTTAGCAAGGAAGTTAAGTCAAAACATAAAAATGAATCACACGTACTTAAAAAGCAGAAACTGACTTGGACAAAGGGCCAAAAACATGATGAAAGAAAGACAGCCTGTTTAACAAATGACGCTAGGAAAGCTGGCTGTCCACATGCAGAAGCCTGAATCTAGAAAGTGATCTCTTAACATGCACTAAACTAAACTCAAAATGCACCAAAGATCTAAATATCAAAATGGAAGCACTTAATCTGCTGGAAGATAAAATAAATAAACTTCTTCAGGACACAGGCATAGGCAAGGATTTTCTAAACAGAACTCCAGTTGCACAAGAGATAACACCAAGAATCAACAAATGGTAACATAAAAAATTAAAATGCTTCAGCACAGCGAAGGAAACAGCCAACAGAATGAAGAGACAACCTGCAGAATGGGAAAAAATTTTGCCAGCCATTCCTCAGACAGAGGACTAATATCTAGAATAAATAAAGAGCTCAAAAATATCAGACTCCCCCAAATTAAAGATCGATCAAAAAACAAGCAACTGAAATGAACAGATACTTCTCACAAAAATAAGTACAGTTGGCCAACAAATATGTGAAAAACGTGCAACATCTCTGGCCATCAGAAAAATGCAAATTCAAGCAACACTTACTCCAGAAAGAAGGACCATCACCAAGAAATCGGCTAACACAAATGCTGGTGAGACTGCAGGGGTGGAGGTTGGGAGGAGGCAGCCTCTGCACTGTTGTGGGAGTGTAAACTAACAGAACCGCTTTGGAGATTCCTCAAACACTGACACTAGAAATTCCATTTGACTGAGCTATTCCCCATTAGGCGTCTTTCTGAAAGAGTTAAGGACATTAGATTACCGTGATATGTGCAAATCCACATCGGTAGCAGCACCATTCACAGTAGCTAACTCTTGCAAGCAGCCTGTATGCCCATCAGCAGAGGAACAGACACAGAAATGTGGTATTTACACACAGTGGAGCGCTACCCTGCCATAAAGAAAGATAAACGAGTCATTTACAGGAAGATGGATACCCTGAGACCATAATGTTGCGTACAATAAATCAGACACACACATTTAAATATAGCATGTTTTCTTTTATATGAGAAACAAAGTATAAAAAGAACAAAATAAAAGACAGATAATAGGAAGCAGAGAGATCTTTCTCAAAGGGGAAGGCTTTCAGGAGCTGGGGCGAGGCAGAGGGAGAGAAGGAAAGGGGAAGAAAAAAGGAGTTAAGATGGGTTATGTCCATGTACCAACTCCTCACAAGGGATAGGACTGCAAACGTTACAAAAAAAGGAAGGGGACGAAGAGACGGACGGAGGGCGTCTTCATTACTTTTCTCATTGCTGAGACAAAATACCCAGCACCCAAAGTTAACGGAGGAAAGATTTATTTTGCCTCACAGTTTATAGAGGTTCCAGTCCACAGGCGGCTGGCTCCAAGGCAGGGCAGCTCAAAGAGGAGAAACAAAGCAACAAGAGGCCGCAGCAGCCTGCCTCCCCCTTATCCCCTTAGGCCACCTGGCTGTTGCGGGGTGTCGCGCACAACCAGGGTGCACCTTCCCATTATCAGCACCCAGAACTACGCTAAGTCAGTCAGTGGGTATTCAGTGCCACAGCCCTGAATCCCAGCCTCACCCACCCTAGACCCAGCCACCTCCAAAAAGCCTCACCTACAAGAGCATGAGGCTTTTTGGGGACCTCAGATACAAGCCAGGATGGGGGGAAGGGAGGGAATGGAAAGGGGATGAAAAATTAAAATGTATTATGTACACTTAGGAAGAGGCAGGAGGAAGCCGGGGAGTTCGAGGCCAGTCTGAACTACATAGTGAAACCCTCTTAAAAGAAGAAGATGTGTTATGTACATGTACCATCTCCCAGCAAGGAATGTAAACATTGTACTACAAACATGTACTAATAAAAAAGGAATTAAAGATGAGAGCCCCCAAATAAAAGACCCAAACAAGAAACGGGCAACTGAAATGAACAGACACTTATTAGAAGGAGAAATACAGGCCGGGGATATAGCCCAGCAGCACAAGCGCCTGCCTGGCAAGTGTAAGGTCCTGAGTTCGATTCCCAGTATAAACAAAAAAAAAAAAAAAAGAAGAAATACAAATGACCAATAAATGCATGAAAAATGTTCAACATCTCTGGCCATCAGAAAAATGCAAATTCAAAGCACACTCAGATTCCATCTTACTCCAGAAAGAATGTCTACCGTGAAGAAGTCAGATGACAGATGCCAGGTGTTGGTGGCACATGCTGTGATCACAACAGGGAGGCTGAAGCAGAAGGATTGCCCTGACTTCGAGGCCAGCCTGGGCTACATAGTGAGTTCAAGTCCAGCCTGGACTACAGAGAAAGACCCTGTCTCAAAAACAAACAAAAAAAGATCAACTGGGTGTGGTGGCACATGCCTGTAATCCTAGCACTCAGGAGACTGAGGAAGCAGGAGCTTCATGAGGTTAAGGCCAGTCTGTACTACATAGTGAGACCCTGCCTCAAAACAAATCAAATACCAACAAATCCTGGCAAGGTATAGGGTGGGGGAGAATGTAAACTAGGACAACCACTTTGGAAATCAGTGTGGAGATAGCCTCAAAACACTGAAACTAGAAATTCCATTTGACCCAGCTAGTCCCCTTCAAGGTATCTCTCTGAGAGAGTTAAATGCATCATATTACAGTGATATGTGCATACCCATATTTATAGCAGCACAGTTCACCGTAGCTAAACCTTGGAAGCAGTCTATATGCTCATCAACAGATGAATAGATAAAGAAATGTAGGGCTGGGGATGTAGCTCAGGGGCACAAGTGCCTGCCTAGCAATTGGAAGGTCCTGAGTTTGATTCCTAGTACCCACCTACCCCCTCCAAAAAAAAAAAAAAGTGGCATTTATACTCAGTGGAGTATTATTCTGCCATAAAGAAGGATAAATGAGTCATTTTTAGGAAAATGAACGCACCCTGAAAATATAACATTAAGTGAAATAAATCAGACACTCAAGCTTAAATATTGCATGGTTTCTCTTCTGTGTGAAATGCCAAATATAAATAAAGAACAAAATAAAAGATTATAGAAAAAGAGTTGAAGAGGAGGAGAGAGAGGGTAGGGAAGATGCAGCTGGGAGGGTTACAACCGAGTGGAACAAAAATATCCCAGGTTCTTGCGCAAGAGAAGAAAATCGCCACGCGTACTCGTAGTATGTGCTAAGTGCTGCGTTTTTTGACATCACAGGACAGCAGCAGGGCAGCGGAACGGGAAGGGAAAAGGGGCTCGTACCGCAGGCTTCTGGCATTTAGAGGGTCAGGCTCCGCCACTCCAAGGCCGCCCACGCTCGGGCGACCTCCTGAGCTGCGGCCGGTAACTGGCAGGGCTGCGGCGGCTACCGCGGGAAGGGCGGGAGGGAAGGGAGTGACTCAGCTCCCTGGTTCTTCTGTGCCAGGAGCGGGAGGGGCGCACGGAGAAGTAA